TATTTGGAGCAACGTGAATCTGTGTGGTGGGTCTGTGCTGGTTCATATTTGTCTCCTGAATAAACTATATCTTGTTTCCCTTGAGCTGAGAGCTGTGATTTTGTGTTGATAGATGTGATCTCAAAGAAAACTCAATGTCAACATGCTTCAATAGAAAGAAAGACACTGGGGGTGGTTCCCATCTTTCTTATTCCCACTCCCAGCACTGGGGAGGAAGAAGCAGGAGGATCCCAAGTTCAAGGTCACTTCAGGTTAGAGATGCCATTCGTCATCACCATAACCAACCTTCTACCTCCAAAGAAAATAGCCAGAATGGCAAAAAAGAAAGAAAAAACCAAACCATTACTCTGGAGGTTAGCTCAGTTGGTATAATGCTTGCCTAGCATGCATGAAGCCCTAGTCAATCCAGGACTGCATAGTCCAGGCATGGAGGTACATACCTATTATCTCAGCACTCAGAAGTTAGAGGCAGAAAGAAATTCAAAGTCACCCTCTGCTAAATAGCAAGTTCAAGGCAAGACTGGACTACCTAAGACCCTGTCTCAAAACCAAACAAAAACCTATTACAGACAAGTAAGCAGTAACACAATGTACAAGTGAGAATCTCAGGCCAACTCTCCAGCCTTCCGAAGATCTGAATTCAAACAATACCATTTACTGTTGCCAACCATGAATGCTGAGATTAGTCCTTTATTCTCTCCACGCCTCTGCTTCCTTGTGGAGTTCTTTTGTTTGTTTTGTTTGTTTGTTTGTTTTTGGTTTGGTTTTGCTTTTCAAGATGGGGTTTCTCTGTGTAGCTTTGAAGCCTGTCCTGGAACTCACTCTGTAGACCAGGCTGGCCTCGAACTCACAGAGATCCGCCTGCCTCTGCCTTCCAAGTGCTGGAATTAAAGGCGTGCACCACCACGACCCGGCCCCTTAGGGAGTTCCTGAGTGAGCCAGTGTCAGCAGAGGAGGTGGTGAAGGATAGATTCTTTGGTTGATGCCTTAACTCTCAGTTGGACCTCACATATGGGCTGCTGCCTCATAATATATTAGTGTGTAGTAGAACTGTTAAGAGAATGTGGATTGTAAAAATAGATCTTAGGTGAATTCCACTGACCCTAGTGATGGATAAGGTGTGGGTGTGGGTGTGGGGGGTTAGTTGGTGAGGGTCATCAGAGTTTAATTTTCCCAGCTTTGAGGACTTTTTTTTTTAAAGACAGGGTTTATCTGTGTAACAGTCCTGGCCATCCCGGAACTCACTCTGTACACCAGGCTGGCCTTGAACTCACAGAGATTTGCCTGCCTCTGCCTCCCAAAGGCAGGCACCACCACCATCTGGCCTTTGAGGACTTTTAAGAGTCAAATAACATAATCATGATAATGATAGATCTGAACAGTACCTGACACATACTACTATGAAATCAGTGGTACTTTATTTTATTTTGTCGTTGTCGTTGGTGACAGAACCTTCTATCTCATGGTATCATTGTGAGAAGAGAGTAGAAATGAAATGAAGACGGTAAAGACCCTAGCAGAGAGCCTGAGACATAAGGCTGAGCTGGTATTAGTTCTTATCCCTCTTCTGGGTGTTCCCTCCCCATGCAGCTCACTTTCATGTCCCCCAGCTCAACAAATGTAGACTTCCTTGTTGTTTTGGGACCTCATGGGGGAAGCACCTCTACCAAGTGGAGGTTGGCTTGGGAGACCTGACTTCCTGTCATTGAGTTATATGGAAGAACATAATCTTGTCGTAGAGGTGACAACCTGGACGCCAGATGTTTAAGTCTAGTTCCTTGTAGTGGTTTGAATGAGAAGGAATCACATAGGCTCATATACATGAATATTTGGTCCCCAGTTGGTGGAACTGCTTGTGAAGGATTAGGAGTTGTGGCCTTGTTGGAGGAGGTGTGTCAATGGGGGTGGGCTTTGGGTTTATAAAAGTCCAAGCCATCCCCAGGTTGTTTTCTCTGTGCCTTGTACTTTTGGATCAGATGTAAGCTTTCAGCTACTGCTCCAGTGTCGTGCCTGCCCGCTGCCATGCTCCCTACCATCAGTCATGAACCAAACCTTCTAGAACTGGGAGCTCCAAATTGAATGCTTTTTTTTTTTTTTTTTTTTTTTTTTTTTACAAGTGACTTTGGATATAGTGTTTTGTCACAGCCCTAGAAAAGTAACTAAGATGTTCCTAAGAGGTCAGGATGTGGCTTGTCACAGGTTGGGCTTTGCAAAAACAGTGAGGTAGAAATGGAAGTGTGAAATGTGCGCATTTAGAGATTAGTCACTGCAAACGGAAGGGGTGGGAAGGCGAATGATGCAAAGACAAAGTGGGAAGGCAGACAACGCAAAAGAAAAAGCTCAACACCAGCTTAACACCAGCTCGACAATGCCTGGGCCAAGCCTACAGGATGATGTAAGTGAGTGTCTCCAGTGAGCAGACAAAGGCAGGGAGGGCTTCACACACTGTCTCTCTCAATTCCTGAGTGGTGCTTGTTCAAAAATGCGTGTTAACCATCACATCCTTCCATATACTCACCAGCACCTCTGGGGTTTGAGCGTGCTCACCAAGCATCACTATTGCTTCTTCTGCAAGGTCCACTGGAGAACCCAACAGAGGATAGATTAGCAAAGGACATAGAGTACCCTCTGCAGAACGAGATGCAGCATCCTCACTGTTGCAAACTGGAGGAAGAAATGCTCCAGTCAACACCCTCCCTTGGAAGGCTCGGGTGAGAGAAATAGCAAGCTCAGTAAGAAAGGAAGCAATGACACGTGCCATAAAGACATGTGTACCAGACAGTCACCATCACTTACAACCAGTCATCTATTAAGCGTTGAGGAGACACAATAAAGAAAGGGCAACTGAGTAACAGAAATATCTATCTCTCAGGATCCAGAGATAGAATTCAGGAGATGCATACAGTGTAAGAGAAAAAAAAAAAACAACACAATCATCTAAACCCTTGGTTCTCACCCTTCCTAATGCTGTGACCCTTTAATACAGTTCCTCATGTTGATGGTCTAGACAGTGGTTCTCACCCTTCCTAATGCTGTG